CACAGGCCCAGGGGCCCAAAGGGTCAGGGACCAAAGTCTCTGTTTGAAATGACTGTTACCATTTCTTGTGGGGAAATCACAAAGCTCTGCCCTGATCGACCACAAAGACAAAAAGAGATGCAAAACAACTATAAAGACACTCGAAACAACCACAAAGTGACAACAACAACTACAAGGAGATGCAAAATAACTGCAAAAAAAATGCACATGGACTACAGAGACATTAATGACCACAAAGACACTACAAAGGGATGCAAAATGACTCCAGAGTCTCAAGATGACTACAAAGATACTAAAACAAAGAGACACAGCATGAACCCAGAGGACCACAAAATGATTGCAGTATTTGTTCTCAGTCTGGGTGTCTTGCTCCTATGTTGAAGGGTCAGGGGACCATTGTCTCTTAATCCGTCCATGCCAATAATGTTTGTAGCCTAAGAAATCCTTAAAGTTTTCTTAACTCTTTCAGTTTATTCTGAAAGCACATGTCTCAAAGCCATGAAAAACTTCTCCACTGTCTCTCTCTCCTCTTGTCTTGGTTACAAAAATTGCCAACTCGTTCTCCTCTACACACCTTTCTCTCCTCCTCCTTGAAAATAGTCCTAATTTATCCAGACGTCTGTTTGCTATTAGACAAAACACACGTAGAGGGGGAACATGCTGGGGCCTCTGAAAACGCAGCAGCTGTGCTCATTGGCTTATCTTTTACTGTGTGGTCACTGTGTGATTGGCTGATCTATGGAAACTATTATGCAACAACTCCTATCTTTCTCCAGTTGTTTCAAGTGTTTGTGGCCTTATTCAAGTCAAACACAGTACATCATTCTGAGTACAGAGCTGTTTTCGTTTTCTTTCTTGGGGGGATGTGTGTGTTTCACGTCAATGTACCAGTGTAAATTTTGATAAGAGCAGTAGTTTGGATGTGGGTCAAGTTTCTCAGGGCTGTTGGATTTAAACTAGGTTCGGTGGGTGGGGCTGGACTACAGCATGTTTAAAGGGAGATAGCATATAACCTTTAATCAGTGTGACTTTAATGTGCATAAGCACCAAAATGTGCCCCTTAGTTATTAGTTTGGAATAGGGCTGCAACTAACAATCATTTTGTTTGAGTAGGAAAACCATGCTTTTTAAACCATACAAACACAAAAAGGCTCTTCAGCCGATTGGATTCACAAGCACCTGTCTATACACACACACACACACACACACACACACACACACACACACACACGCACACACGCACATATTCAGAGGAAAAGGTTCTTTCTTTCAGCTGCAAACAAGCAGTCAGTATCTATAATAGAGCGCTGTTCAGTTGAGAAACCAGAGATCACTAATCGCACAAGACACTCATTCACCTGTGTGACCTCTGACCTGTTAAGCCATTCACAGGTGACTGTCACAGTGGGATACTGTTACCCACCTTTGTTTACCTGGAATAGCATTAATACCAGTGTTTGTTGCCTGCACTTTAAAAAGTAAACCTTTGTGTGAGTGTGTGTGTGTGTGTGTGTGTGAGAGGAAAATAAAGCAACAACAGATAAGTAGGGCATTTCCAAGGCATCACTAAGTTTTAGTGGTGAAGGTGGTTTAAGTTAAACCACAACATGTTTTTTCCGCTGTGGCTTTAAAACTAAGTGTGAAACAATTTTTACCTCATGACTTATTTAAACACCACAAGTTGTATGGTTGATGTACAGTAGTTACACTAGTTACAAAGTTTTATTTTCCCCTTCAAAAATTGCTTTTTGAAGGATATTTTCCAAAGTTTTGGTTGGCAGATGTGAATGACTGAGCTGGCAAGCGTGGGAGTCACAGGTGGATTTTAAAAAAGTGTTTTCTTTACCCTAAAATGAAAGAGACAGTTGCAATATATGCAACAAAAATCTTGGCCCAAAAAAGAGGTCAACTAGACAAACCTAAACTCAGGTTGATTACTTAAAATAAACTGCATCAGACAAAACTGACCTAACAAACTCATCACAAAGGGGAACAAAAAGTATATAATAGCTGATCAGATCCCAAAAAAGAGGGTAACACTGAGAGAAACACTGCCTGCTAAACTACAAATAAAACAAAACAGGACAATTAGTGTTTCAGTTTAAATGTTTTAACAATTCACCAAAACTAAAGTACCAACAAAATTGTATATATTTTAAAGAAATAAACTGAATTGCTCAACAGTAGTAAAACCTAATAATCTCAAATCGTATTGCCTGAATTTGAAAATGGTCTTCAAAAGTTACGAGGTTTAAGTCCTGTTTATAGACACTGACATCGATAAATCATTCCCACACCTCCACTGATCAGATCTGGTAGGAAAACAGACAGATAACAAATACCAAGAAAGCAATGTTCTTCCAGCATGAATTGAGGCAAAGTTGTCAGGGTTTCTGGTGACGCGATGTGGAAGGAATGGAAGTCTGCCTGCAAAAATCACCTCCAACACGTTCATCCTTATTCAGCCTTGATGCAATTAGGGAAAGGATCGACAGCGAGCAGCATGGTTATGGGAAATATGGTAATTTGGACAAACAGCACCACCAGTACCACAACTGTAATCTTTACTCGAGAGCTGTGTTAGTCTTCCCAGCATCTCCATAACTCACCAACCAGTTTTGTCTCTGCGGTGTGTCGACACTGTAGTCAAGCCTGGAAAGTCAGAGTATCTGCCAAAACCGAGAGTGTGAAACTCCGAAACATTCAGAAGTCCACACCATTTGACATTCATATTTAAAGCCTCGTTAAATCTTTCATGATGACGGTAGTGAGTTTAAATGTCACTTTTTCCCCGTTAACCACAGTGGAAACGCCTTGCGTTGCCGGGTTCAGGTGACTCTTTGTTTGGCTGTGGAGTGAACTTGGGGGTTAATTTAGTGGAGCTTCAGAGTGAATGAATTGGTGGACTGTTTGCTTTGAGGGCTTTTATGGTGGGACTTGGTCAAAGAGTGCATATGTGGTGGGTGGCTCCAAGTGTATGTTTGTGTGCATTTGCTCTCTCTCTATATAGTTGTGTTAAAATGTTAGCTAACACAAGAATGTACCAAAAAACATCAGCGTGACCATCTGGACACAGATATATACAAACACAAAAACACAATGGTGCAGACAAAACACACACTGTCTAGCCCATGTGTGCATGTGTGTGTTTTTCAGAGCCTTGGCATTCTTGTTAAAACACACGCATTCTTCAACAAACACATGTGGCTGATAATCATAGCTCCAGCGCTGACGTCACCGTGGCAACCAAAGCTGAGGGGCTGGATGTCAAACACTACTTCCTCAACATGGGTACAGGGCACCAACACAAACACACACACACACACACACACACACACACATGCAAACTTTCCCTCTCACTTATGACCACATTTGCACTTTATTTGCAAGTTATTTTCTCTGGTGAGTTTTGTTATACAGTTTGTGTTTTTTGGACAGTTTCCCTGTTTTTGATTTTTTTACATGTCTGCACAAACATTTACACAATAGAAGTTGTGTTTGTGGCAAAGAGTTTAAGTATCTCCTGGAGGGCAATAAAGCACTCATATAGTAGTAGTATAAGTAGTCGAATCATGACGTTATGATACAACATACAGTTTTTGCTTTTGTTAATAAAGATTTAGATGCATTTAGAGACATTACTGCAGTTATCGCTGTGAGGGCAGGCTGCCATCTTGCATCTGGTTGGAAAGGCTGGAGAGTGAAGAAAAACTCTAAACATGTTTATGCATGCTCATCCCCCAGGCAGTGCTGTTTAGGAGGGAGAGGGGGCACAGGAAACAGGATTTATGGGAAATGTGGTCTTAATGATGAGAAACACTGGCACTAAGATCACCCCTGCTGTGAGATAGAAGTCATCATGATGATGGTGATGGTCACTATTGCAGCTATGGAATTTCCCCAAAGACCTATTGGACACCAAGTGTTAAAACCAGCAGTACTCAGTCTTTTCTACCCGTGACCTTTAATATGATGCCATTTCTGCTTGTGGCCCCTCATCTTAGGGTCCTTTTAAGATTGTTTCATATGATATTTTAGAGGCTTAGATGTAATAAAATCCTGGATCTTCGTCGGACCACTAAACCAAACCACTTAAATAACAGTGGCACACTAACAGCCACTTTTCAGTCTCTCCATCAGACAAACACAGGGGCCAGACACAGCTCTTGATTTCGAGCTCTTACCGTCAGAAGGAGCAGATAGCTGAAGGAGTGGATGTCTGGCCTGAGAAAGGAACCTCCCTCTGAGTCACTCTGCCCTACATGGGAAAAAAGGCCTGAGGGCTGATGCAAACCTGAAGTAACAACCTTCGGGAACCAAGGGGGAAGTGAAGGCAGGACTCTCTCTCTCTAACACACACACACACACACACACACACACACATTTGTTCCTCTATCCCTGTGGGGACATCATGCCTAACCCAATTGTACCCCGAACCCTAAAACCAAGTCTTAACACTCAAAAAGCATCTCTACTGTGGGGACGTAAATTTTTGTTTATGTTAGTGTGAATTTAAATCTGCAAAGCTGAAAACTGGACTGTGAAATCATGTGTTCCTTCATCCTTTCATCTTTATGTGTTTTTTAATTACTTCCCTTTGGCTGTTTATATATATATTACATATGGTGTACCTTTGACAACAGATTTCTATATGTGTACCTTCTCTGCTTGATCTCTAAAATTATCCTGTCAGAATTAATTTTTTTAAAAACAGCTGTGATGGGAACCTGCTTCAACCTCAGTTAAAAGAGCCATACGGCTGGGGAATGATTACCTCAGTGAGCACATTATGGAAAATGCCCTAATGGCAGCTGGCGGGCACTCAGTCATTCTCACTTTACCAGCAATGACGTTTAAACTATCAGTTTCCAGGAGAAAGCTGATGTTTGACTTCTGGGGAGTGTGTGTGTTTATTTACTACCTGGTAATGGAGATACTATGTGACTCAGATGTGTCCCTTGTTCAGCCACAATGTAACAGCTTTCTCTTCTTCTTCACAGACCGGTATGATGGATAGGTAGCAGAAGGAGGAAGAGAAGATGTCGTTCTTTGGTGTAGACTGTGTCAGGAAGAAAGAGAGAGGTAAGCCTTCACCAGATGGACAACACAAAAAAAATGTACTCCTCATTGAGGGTCAGTTTTCATTCTTGACTCGCTACAAGGTCCCTTCAGTAGCTATTCAAGAGCTTTTGATCATATTACACGAACTACCTACACTTATTCCTTAGTGCTAAAAGCAACTAAAAGGAATTGCTGGTAACTGGTTATGAAACTGTTTCAATTTAATACTTTATATGGCCTAAATTAGAAAATGAGACCATATAGAATTCCAATGTCTGTCTGTTATATTTTGTGGTTATAGTTGATTCTGGGGAAGAATCAGCAAAAAGAAAAAGGGGGCAGTGATAGAGCACAAGCGAAAACACGAGTCAACCTGAAGCTGTTGGCTTTGTTTCACCATCATTATATTATAGTTATTAATCTTATATAGCTGCAGAAAGATACATTACTTCATCGCTATGCGTCTTGCAAACAGCTGTTTAAAAACAAAAAATATTAATAGTGTAAATAGTATTAAGTTATGTCATTCTTTCACTTACTTTCAAAACGAATGCACGTGCTAGTCAGATCAAGATCTATTTGATAAGAGGTGGTGGAAACACTACCACTTTTGTCCACAGGGTCCGCCTTAAAGTTATTTATTACGTTAATGTTAAAACATTGATAAGATGATCAACTTAGATGAAGGGCATGTGGGCGCAGCTGATTATAGGCTACAGTCTCTTCAACTTAAAAAACTGTTCCACGCTCAGTGTCCACATTTGGAGAAACACAATAAGCACATGAAAACCTGTGTTGGAGAGAATGTGTTGGAAAACCTTGTGCGTGCAATAACTGAGAGCACCGCTGTTTGCGGGCAGAGCTTTTGACGATACATTTGGTGACTTTCGGGGTGGGTGAAATAGGGTGAAGCGTAGGAGAGCCCTGTTTGCATTTACGCACGGGGCGCAGCAGCGTATCTCCCGACACGCCAACAGGATCAGTCAGAATCCAACGTTAATTAGTATTTAGTGTTCTTCTCTACATCCAGAAGGTCTCACACAAAGTCCAGGTTCATACAGAGAAACTGTCTGGAGGACAGGAGCCGACTCTTGATCAGTCCTGAGCGTCATCAGTGCGTCTACAGTTTTTTAGAGGCTAAAAGTTCAATTCTGTTTGCTCTGCAGTTTCCTCTGTCTATCCTGTCAAGTTTATAACTGCAGTTTTTAGTTTTGCTGCATATACGTCCCACGGTATTTGCCGTGACATTACTGCGCCTGTGGAAACGTTTAAAATGACTCTAATCACGAAAGCAAACCATTTATGGAAACAATCGTACATCAACACAATGAAGAAATCACCTGGAAAGTTAAAAAGGGCCGGTAGAGGTGGGATAAAACTGAGAAAATAATCAGTTGGGTGGGGGGCCGGTAGGATCTAGTGCTTACACGATTATTCAGATATTGTCACAGCCGATCTGCCCTCACACCAATGTAGCTCATATAATCGTGACAAAACAGTACAAACAGCTGCTGACGTCAAATTAAAAGGCTGTACTATGAACCAGAGCATCCTCTGACTTCAGCACTAACCTGTTGTATTTTATGTTGTTATTTAATAACAATAGTGCCCATTATGTAGGTTGCACATGTAATTTGCACACTGTGTTCCTCCCTGTCAATAAAGGGTGCTGCAGCACCCTCTGCACCCCCTTTCCCCTGTGCTTGACTTTACATGTGCCTGGCAATTAAAAGTGCCAATGGAAAGTTAAAAAACAAGACGACTTGCTTTTCCAAAATCCACACTGTACTATTTCCAATCAGGTTTTTAGTATGTAGTGTGTTCATAGTGGAAAAGAAACAAGTTAAGTATAATCAAAGCAGACAGCATGCATTCTAAATATGTGTGCTCTTGATGCACACTATTCTCCCACAATGCAATGCACAAAGGAATTGAAGGCACAAGTCACAGCTGAAAAAATTGTGGGTGGCGGTGAAACTGCTCCAAAAAAATCTTTCAATGAAGTATTGCTATAGGACAAAGCATAAGAATCTTAAGTCATGATAGTGGCTCTTCGAGGATGTACTTTGAGCTAAATGCTAACGTCAGCATGCTAACATGCATACAGTGACAGTCCTAACATGCTGATGATTAGCATGCATAATGTGTACTATATTATTCACCAGCACTTTCACTCATTTTGTAATAAAAAAAAAGCAAGTCAAACATAATGTTTAATGAGATACTCAATACTTGAAATGAGTGTGTCTGTTTGTTAGGGCTGAACGATTGATCGTTTTCAAATCGTTAGCTAATTGTGAAGATGGCGAATAAAATATAGGTTAATTACTCACCAAACAGAGCAGGCACAGGGCGTGTACATTTCACAACAACAAATTAAACTAGAGGAAAACGTGTGTGATGAACAGACACAGGCAGGATTCTCTATACCGTTCTGTGTCTGACTACTCCTTGGTTCATCTGCTCTGTGCTGCTTCAGTCAAAAATAGACTGGCAGAGAATATTGAACTTCAAAACTTCAATAAAAACAAATCGAAACTTAATTGCAATATCTGGCAGAAAAATCGCAATTAGATTTTTTCCCCAAATCGTTCAGCCTTATTGTTTGTTTACTGTGACACATCTGTACTGTCATGTGCTTTAGATAAAACTTTCCATTATAGAAAACTTCAGTGCATGATATCAGTACACACTCGTACATTCATGTAAATTATGATAATTTCTCTGTCTTTTCAAATCAGAGCTGGAGAGGAAACTTCGTGCCAATGACCGCGAGTACAACCTCCTCTTTAAATATGCAGTAAGTTTTAATATGTGCTTGTTGTTTGTCAGACAATTTGTGGTGCTATTGTCCTCTACCAATGGGACTAAAATAGAGAAGGGGATGTACTGCGGATGTGGTCCGCGCACTTTTTAGACTAAACAATTTATCACGGCATTTTGTCAGTGCAGATATTTACAAGAGAAACCCTCTCTTGTTTCTTGCTGCTTGAGTGTCTGGCTTTAATCAGGAGACTGTTATCAGCCAAGATCAAAGAGTTGCTTCTGGCTAAACTCATTCTCTGTGTTGCTGCAGTCGAGGTCAAAACGCAAATGAGTTATGTAGAAACATGCAGTAAGAGGTGTCACTTCTACAATGGCAACGGCTGCTACATTGGCGTGGAGGATAAATATATTTGGAAAGGTTAAATGGAAAAGAGCAGAACATTGTAAATAAGTTACTATTTTGCTCTACTACTAAAAGTAAGTATAATTAGGACATAATGAAATGTTAAAAAAGAAGAAAGAGAAAATGGATATTGAAACAACAAATGGATATAGTGAAATGGGAATTTATAATAAATAATAAATGTATTAAAATATCACTTTTCCAAACAGATGTTTGCTTAAGACAATAAAATAACAAATCAGTAAATGCGGAAAAACTCAAACAGCATTGAAGCAGAGCAACGAGGCAAATCAAAAAGCAAAAGACTCTCCAAAAAATGCACGTACATGTAACTTGGAACTTTGAACACATAAAATGAAAAATCTGAGATGGAAGTTGATTAAACTCCAAACCTTTAATAATCCATTTTCCCTTTAGTTTAGTTAGTATCATAATATTATTTTTGATTAAAATCACCTCCTTACAACTTCAAGGGGATAAAACTAGTGGAACACTCATTTCCCCTGCTTGAATATTTAAACATTTACAGAGTCACTGGGAGGTGTTAGTAAAGGCATCCCGTGATAAAGGCATTCGTGTTTTGGATCTTTGATTGGCCTAAACATTTTAGAGTAGGAAGATATGTCAACCCAGAGTGTTTGACCTTTTATTTACCCTGAGAAGTGTTCCTGGGAAATACACTTCCAAGAAATTCTCTACAGGAATAATCATTTAGTCACCACAAAAATGTGCTTAGAATAGAAGCCGCATATTAGATTATGTTTAAATTTATTATTATAGTTAATATCCGTGAGATCAGACTAAATATTAGTAACTACATCTCAGTACAATTAACAGCACCACAAACTACAACCTCCAAAATTACATAAATGAACTTCTCATAGAGAGGTTTGTTTACAAACACAAACAATGGATTTTAGCTGGTGTTAGATTAGTATAGCAAAGATATGTTTGCAGGATGTGTGGTCATGTCTAGCAATAGAAAAACAGCCTCACAACATTTTGTGGTTTCTCCAAATTGAAGAGAAGAAAATTATTCTATCAATCTCTCAACTGAGTACAAATAGTTTTTCTTTTTTTTGTATACTATATATATATATATTTTTTTTATGTGTACACATGAAGAAAATTCACTGTTAATGACAACATGATAGGACATACGTCAGGATGATTATAATCCATGACACATGGTTTTATAGCCCTGAACTAAAATTAACGTTACCTAAAGCAAAGTCTTTTGGGATGGGCCCCAAATAACAACATTACATCAATATTTCCACATTTGAGGGAAACGGGGTGTTTATAGCTGGATATGTGTGATGTGAGCAATTCAAGTTTGCAAAAATGCTTTACAAATGTTTTATGAGGTGGAGGTAGTACATTCAATATGGTTGTTAGTCCATTAGGAATGTTGAATGTAATAAAAAACATTAGAACTTCACTGTGGAGAAGTGTATTTATTTCTCCTTTAAAGTTCGACCAGCAGACTCGTGACAACCAAAAAAAGAACCACCAAAGACTATCAGCCATCTGCAGGCTTAAGGGACTCTATGTTGGCCCCCATCTCCTCTTGTTGTATCAAAGCATTATTCAGCCCATCATATTCTCCTGCTTCTCTAACATTATCTCTATCTTATGTTGTAACATTATTCTCTAACGTATAGATAATTGGTCTCCCCACACCCAACCTAGCAGAAGTAAACATTGAGGCCAGTGCACGCATTGCAACTTCAATAGGACAGGACATCACACACCCACTCAATCACCATCTTACTCTACTGCCCTCTGGGCTTTACAGAGCACTGATCTGCAGGAGGGTTCACTTTGGGAAAAGCCTGACCCTCGGAGCCATAGTCGTGCTTAAATAGGAGGCCTCATTAAACTGGCCTGAGTGTGTACTGCTTGTCACTGTATGTTGCTACTGTCTGCTTTTGTTGTCTGATGTGTGCAGTGCTCTGAAAACGAAGTCTACAGTCTTAAAGTAGAAATAACATTTCTCTGCCACGAGGAAGTCAAAGGTTAGATATCAGGGTTAGCCACAGAATAATAGCATCAGAGTTGGGGGTAATCCAGTGTCTTGCTCAAGGACACTCCAGGAGTGCTTTCTTTCACTTCATTCGGTTAAAAGGAAGGCAGCTGTATTACAGTATTTGTCTTGTAGATTACTTTAACCCTGCTTGTCTTCCACCATATGTACCATCTGTCCGTCTGTTAACATTAACATCCTGACGTGACATTTTGTCCTTTGAATATCCAAAGGACCTCAAACATTTAAATATTTGTTCAAGCCATGTGATTATCTACCATGCCTCTGTCTTATCATCCTGAATGCATAGAACCAGACATAGAATGACACCAGATGCGCACAGTTAACTTTCATGGAGAGTACAAGACTTTATTTTTCCACTGGGGTTTGTCTGTTTGTGGCCAGCTTATATCCAGGTTGTTGTGTTTTATTTGTTTGTTTGCAAGACTTTTAGCTTGGTAGTGGATGATACTGACCCTTCTGTTGCGATCTCAATGCTGAAATACATGTATTCCTCTAGAATTTTCCTCTTATCACGATACAAAATCTTCTGAAAGAACTTCTAGACCATATGGACCTTAAAAACAAAAATCCCAACTGAATTATTTTAGGCAGTAATACAGTACTTTCTGCACCTCTTTGTGAAGGTAATTCATTTGCTTGAGATAATGAACTGCTAAATTAATATACAAAATACATCATTGAACAAAATATGTTAATAACTTTTAAATAAAATTTTAGATTAACAAGCTTGCTGGCAACTGTCCTTACTGATGATGGATTGCTGGTACCTTAGCACTGCTTATGCTACGTTAGCCTCAGTGTTTTGCTCATTTGCATCAAGTTAATAAATGGTTCAGAGAGTTGTAAAATAAGCAAGCTGATTAACACCTTTAACAATTTGTCCTGTTTTTCAGTTAACCAGCTTAGCGAAGGCTGATGTTGTTTTTGCCTCATGTCCCATTAGCTGATGTTGGATAGCTGCTAGCTTAGACTTGTCTTAGTCTTTAAAGTTAACTTTGTGCCCTGTAAGTTTAGCACAATGTAAGTTAATACAAGAATGTTCTTCTTTTCAGGATACAAAAAACTCAGTCATTTTTGGACCATGATAGCACCTAATAAAGCAAACTTTTAACTGGATAGTTTAAAGCCTATCCCTTGCAGCTACAAAGGATAAGGCTCATATGGATCTGCACTACATATGAAGGCAAGGAATTAGCTGGATAATTTACTGTGGAAGTAATGTTAGAATACATTATTAAATAATTACTTAAATATTGACATGTAAAAGAACAACATGCTTCCATGTCGCTGTCACTGCGGAGGAACTATGATTATATCATCATTCATTATATTAATGTCACTGGTTAAGAGATGTGTTCATGCTGTAGGAGTGACAAGAAAAGTAAAAACGTATTTTATTGCCTCTTCTTCCTTGAGAAAAAAAGAAAATATCACGGTTCAAAAGGGGAAACCAAAGGGCAAGTATCGATGTTAGTGCTTAACAGAACTGAGTCATCTTCTTTGTCAGGGAGAAAGAAACAATAATCATGCCTGCATGTCTGTTGGTCACCATTTATTTATTAACTTTTATTAACACTTTTACAATAACGACGCTAAGGACAAGCGATCACAGATTAAGTGTTCCTGGTTTCTTCTTGTCCTAACCAATCTCCTGATTGAGAATTTGTGTTTCCTGTCTCAATGGTTGGGTGATCTCAGTTTAGCAATTTTAACCACCTAGCATAAGATTAAGATCAAGATTTTCCAACATTAAATGAGAACTATTTACCTTAGAATTTCTCACAGAAACATAAAGCTTGAAATATCTTGAAAAAGACCCATAAGTATATTTAATCCAAAGAACCCTCACATTTCTTGAAAACCTGCGTAAGTCAACATTATTTCTAGATTGATGTAACACTCAATCTAATATCTGTCACTTGCTGCCTCCCTTTACACCTTTAACAGACGAACGCCATCAAGACCTCCAAGTACAACTTCTTCACCTTCCTGCCTCTTAACCTTTTTGAACAGTTCCAGAGGATTGCTAATGCCTACTTCCTGTTTCTGCTGGTGCTCCAGGTGAGTGAAACAAAACACACACACAGGATGGCTTCCATCCAACTGTCAAGCTGATGGGTTTTTTTTAAATGTTGACTGGTCATGACAGAAGAGTTGGATACAGTAATAGAGAGTCAGCTTTGCTTCCCGTTTGTCTCTATAGTGTTAAAGAACACCAGAAACTGCAAACATGGTAAATTATTACACTTTGAAGTATGAAGTTTTAAACCACAAAAATGTTATAATTGTAAATCTTTCCCAAACCTAGAAAAGCTATTATGTGTCCTGCATCATCTCAGTGTATACAGAGAATTAGCAGGTACCAGGAAGTGAACTTACTTCTGCATTCACACAATATCAGCAGAATGGGAAGAACTAGATATTTATCAAAATCTATTTTAACAAGTGAAACCAGATGCAAACATAGTTCGCCACAATCAAAGAGGGATAGCCGATTTTTACTAGTTGGATAAATTGAGTTAGATTAAATTTAGGCTAGATAGATTTAATCATAGTGGCTCTGGCAGAGAATATTACTACATGTTGCTCAGAGAGTCCATTAAATTAGCCCAGCTAATGTTACATTAGCCTCATGCCCAGTTTGTGTTGGATTGCTAGGACATTGCATTCACATGCTCCTCAGAGGGTCTTATTTTCCAAGTTGGGAAGTCATTCTTCTAATTTTAGTGTGTTCCTGAGTAATGTGGAAACAGCAACGTTTTTGTATAGTGTCTAGGGAATGGGTTGTTATGTATGTGATGTTACTATACAGCTATAATAAAAAGCATTTACTTTTGCCCACCATGTTTCTGCGTTATATGACATCAGTTCGGCAAGTCCACCAAAATCCTCACCGACTATCCAGGTTGTTCCGACTTGAGGGGGCATTCAAGTGACATGTCACAATATAGTGCGACATATATCCATTTTACGAACTGCATGTCTGTTTACTTCCTGTCAACTCTACAGTAAAATAGGGCCCAGGTTCAAAAATACCAAATTTACCCATTTAAGTGCTTTATTGGGAAACTAAATGTAAAACCACAGAGACCATCTGTGACATTAAACTATTCCTAATGTTTCTGGAATGATATGATACTGTCAGAGACTGCTGACACACTGAGAACTTCTGTCACTAACTCTCACACTTGCAAACATAGAATCCAACATGACACACTTCCACAGCGAGCGGCTGCTCTTTCTAATGTTGAAGCTGTGTGTTAGCCAAACAGGATGTGGATGAATCAAGTGCAGTGAGATTGAGGAAGTTTACTATCCAGCACAGGAAATTGCCTCATTGTGTGCAAAATAGTCATGCTGCACCACAGAGGTTGTCTGTAGTGACTGATCTCTTGATGGACAAGGAAAAACTGTAGCACAAATGCAATTTTATATGAATGATAAACAACAATTCCATGTATTTTCTGTAGAAGTTAATGTCCATGTTGCTTATTTATGCATCAGAATCTATCAGTGGTCGAGACTTCACCAACAACGAACACTTCCTTGCCACATGGCTTAATTTTCAACCAAATTTCACTGAAATCTGGAAGAATATTTTTGAGAAATTCTGCTAACAAACAATGAAAGACACACCAGGATGGTCCTGAACAAAACCTCCATGGTAGACATAATGAGCATGTATTTTAATATGCATACTGTACACAACAGCTGAACCATTGATCAAAAAGTTTGGACATGCAAACTTTCCTTGTACACTGAGGAATATTTTTGCATCGCAGTATTGTTAAACAATGTTTCGATGTCTTTTTAAAAAGATGTCTGTTTTGAAGTTTAAGATTTACTTTAACTAAATGCACACGCTTCTCTTTGTTATACACACACATCTTTCTTTATGTCTTTCAAGATACACCCACAGCTCAGCTCTCCCAACTGCAGTCTTTCCTTTCAGAGCTGTTTAAAATAAATATATTATCCTGTGTTTGTTATTCGTACATGATATTGATTGTGTGTCATTCTCCTACTTGTTAATGATATGTAATTTCTGTAGTCATGTACGTGTTTTCTCTGCCTTAAATGCTTGTCCACATTTTCTCATTTGGCTGAAGTCTCTTTACATTTCTTTGCGTCAGCCACACAGCTTGTACTATATTTCCTTTCTCTTGTTCTGGTTTGATCTAGCTGCTATATCCAATACTAAGCTTAAACTAAAGTGAACTTGTATGTATGTGTGTCCTCCAGGTGATTCCTCAGATCTCCTCTCTGTCCTGGTTCACCACAGTTGTTCCTCTGGTCCTCGTGCTGTCAGTCACCGCTGCCAAGGATGCCACTGACGATATCGTAAGCACATTCGAAACATTTTTATGGGTAGCATTTTACCTGTAACAGATATTACCTCATTGATTTTAGAGGTAGTAGTAGAGCAAACAAACTAGAAAGCACTTACAGAGTTGACCTCTTGACCTCTACCATGGCCAAATAATCCTCTAATAGAATGTGTATATTATATTTTATTCTTTTGATTTATCTGCATCAACAGATTTTTTGCAGAAAAATGTTTCCTGTCACACAATAAATGTTAAATATTTAATAAAGCAATTTTTAATGCTGAGATGCTTCATGAGCCGTCTGATTCAGCTCAGCACAAGAGACGATGACTGAGCTCTCATTTTGTGTTTTCGTTCGCCCAGTAAATAATCAGAGCAGCATGTCTTAAAGTTGGGAAAATAATAGCACCTTACTCAGTTTGGGAAACACTGGCTTAAAACGATGTATGTTTACTTTTTCCAGACAAGGAACCTCTTAAGGTCATGTGAACAAAGTCCTCTTCGAGAGTCAAAGGCGCCATAGCGTGGCGTTGTTAGACTGTCTCAAAAAGTCTCAGGCTGGACGGGGACTAGACTGTACTTGTATAGAACCTTTCAAGTCTTTCTACCACTCGAAGCACTTTACAATACAAGTCAGAGGCTACCATGCAAGGTGCCCACTGCTCATCAGGAGGAAACTGATCATACACATAGGGATGGCGCAGCCAGTTCAATATCTCTCCAGAGGACACTTCGACATGCCGATCCGCTCTACCTCTAAGCCACAGCGGGTGATGGTTATGTCTACAAAGATTGAGAACATAACCACATGTGAACTATAAAGAGAGAAGATAAGAAAAGGCATTAAAACACATTTGGAAAGGTCATATGAGGGATTAACAGTAGGGCAGAGTAGATTCTGCTACACAGAACGGCTCCTCTGGTCACGTTATCTCATTTTCCTGATAATCCCCATTTACTCTGTGACTGTGGGAAAAAAACAGTTCCATTAACATCGGCAGTCTAATGTACAATTCACAGACCACTTAACTCGTGATCTCATTTTCAGTGCACTTTGTCAAACATAAACACTCTTTTGTTTGTTAGCACGAGCGTTTATCAGTCTGCTCAGCGTCAAATTAAGGTTGCCGTGGCAACTGTGTTCATTTCTATTAACTTTCGATCGATTTGAGCAGTTGAACCCCACTCGACCTCAGGCTTCCATTTCATTTCCATTACTTTAAGACACATTTTGGCAAATCGAAACCTAAAATCAACATGCTGTTGCTGTACACTTCATTCAGTCTTTTGGCCGAGGGATTTGACCCTTTTCTGTTAATCAGCCAGATTTGTGAAAATGTTGAAATGCAGTTCTCCTTTAGTGACAAAAGATTATGTCATTTATGTGAACTGACACTGATTAAGAAATACCAAAAGTCCCCTGTTTTCCTAGCTCACACACTATATCACAGCTGGCTGTTACTGCATCAGGAAGTGAATTTGTTTTGTTAATGAATAAACCTTTTTTCGCATTAAATGAACCGCAACAGAACGAAATGTGCTTCTAAAACAATGGAAGGAAAATGGTTTCAGCTGACAACTAACCTGTGTCTGTGTGGAACTCTAAGTAGTAGTAATCTAATGCCAAACCACTAAGAGGAAATAAGTGTTGTCATGGGTTAAACATTAGCTTGAGGAGAAGAACAGTCTTTTTGTTTGGCAGTGGTGGTGAACTTGAACGGTCCTCGCCACCGGTACCCATCTGTTCCTTTATAGTCACTGGGTTCAGGCTTGATTTGATCTCAGCAGGTACACAGCAACTCAAGTCTCACCATGCATGGCAAGGTGGATGACCTTGAAAAGCAAACGCTACAATTACTGTTGACAGTGTTAGGGAAACTGCTGTGAAGGGACAGTTTCAATGTAGAGAGATAAATTTTGTGCATTTTAAATATAAAGAAGATTTCTTTGGATTTGAATCAAACCTCATTTTCTGTTAGATTCACAGTTGAGAACAGTTGTCATCTAATCCAAACTTTGAGGGCCCACGTGATGATTAGCTGAAGTGGAATAAAAAATGTGAATACTATACAAATTATGCTTGTTTTGTCAGACTTCCCTGTAATCTTTGATTTTTTTCTTGTAAATGACTAAATTGTTTTACTTTTTCAAAACAAAAAAGAACACTTATTACAAAAAAAATCTGGTAGACAACCGGCAACTGATGACTAGCGGATGCATATTGACTTTGTTTTAATCGTCATAAAGTAAAGCTGATGATACACAGAGCAACTTTTAGAGCAATCGTGCAGGGCAACGTTGTCAATGGTAATGAGTGAGTAAAGATTACTACCGTAATCCCCTTCTCCCGCCACTCCGCCACCCTCCCCACACCACCGCTATCAAAACATAGTCGGACTTGCCACCAGCAACATTGCCCAGCAACATTGCTCAAAAAGTTGCCCTGTATCATCAGCTTCAATCAACCATATCTAACAGAAACAGTTTTCTTTTATAAGTGTTAATAAATGTAAATGTAAAAGGTGTAAACAGAAACTTCTTAACCTGCCAGAAAGTAGAACAGAAAACCCAGACAAAACCCCATCTGGGTTAGACGCAGGAAGGACAGATGAATATGCTTAACTTTCTTTTATATGGTGTGTAACATCTGTTATTTTCTCTGAATCAGAGCCAGCAATCTGAACTTAAACCCTTTGGCTTCTGGACAGAAAGTGCTTCTGTTCTAGGCAAAGCACTAAATGTAGTAGTAACTGTAAGGAAGCAGTAAACTTGTCCGTTAGATTACGGTAGGATTACAAAAAGGGAAACCACTTCAGCACTGCCTGTCTCAGTAACCAGAGACAAAAATTCACATGACAAAGGAGGCACTCCCATCAGAATATATATCTCTGATAGGAGTAACTCCAACAACATATCTCCTCCCATGCATTGACACTTCAGTAGCTCTACAAACAATTATAACCCACGCTGTTAGTTGGTGACAGATACGTTTTATGGGAATTTCCGTCAAAGCTAGTCATTGTCAAACTGAGAGGCTTATGACTCAGTTCTGTTTCATTGTGAGTTTGTGTGTGTCTTCTTTCCAGAATCGCCACAGGAGTGACAATCAAGTCAACAATAGAAAAGTTCAAGTCCTTATTGATGGAAAGTAAGTTTGTATGTGTGCATATATGTTTATTCATGTGTTGTTGATCACGGGAAATACGTTTGTGCTCATATATGCTAAAGTTTCAGCTGGCCACATCCTGATTTTTGTATATTTGTAGAGGCACAATTGGGGTCTATTGACTTTTCTGTTCAGGCGGGTGTTCTTCAGGGAACTATCTTGGGTGCCCTCTACATTTATTATAAAGAAGCCTTGAAAAAATCCTTAAAGTCATGGTATTAGCTTTGTTTCATCTCTTAGGGTAGAATTAGGACCATCTGGCCATCAGATTCCATAAAGTTATCAAGCATACCTCACATATTTGAAATAGCAGTCTTCAGCTCAGCAGGATACAAAACAAGCGCTCACCACCATCCTGCAGCTGATTCCTGTGGCTGTACTAGATCGAGTTTTGTTATGAGTGACACAGATGGGTAAAAATAATAGAATACACAATAGATATAATAGAAAGAAAGGTCAAAAATATCCAGTGGGCCTATCTAAAAACAGAAGTCATACAGAGGTGAATTAGAGTCCAAATTCCAAAGTTTGTCTCCATAAGTGAAGGTCTAATGGCTGCTTCAAAGCCCCACATTCCCCACATTGCCAGGTAGTTAATAATTGGGGATAGACGCTGTAGTAAATTAAGAAATTGAATCTAAAAAAGACCATGTGTAAAACCCACCATGTGTTTTGAAAAATGAACAAGATATGATCAACCAGATGATGAATCAATTATTTGCCTCAACATTTCTGTACAAACTTACAACAAGGACAATACATATGATCAACGTGTTAGGATTATCATTACTGATGAGCAGAATTATATAACAATAAGATCCCAACATTACCAACGTCTGAGATATGAGATTCCCACCCAAGACACCAACTGTATATTTAGAAATACATGGTGCACTGGATTCAAATATTTGCATGAATGGTTGGTCTTTCCTCCTGGGTTGGTTCTTGTTGGCTGTTTAGGTGGCCAAAGAAAGCAGCTGCAGGCTGGCAGGAAGAGTTTGTTTTTGTCCTGTTGACTTGATACCTGCATTTGTAAAATGTGTAAAGAGTCTTTGTTTGATTTGGCATGTGTTGGACCTGGAGTACAAAGATTTCAAACACGTATCCAATTTTTCAGTTTCAAACTATAAAGTGAATAAAAATGCCTCTTCATTTACCAGTGACTGAAGGAGATTTTAGATTTTGGGCTGTCATTGAGAGTATTATTTACTGGAATCCATCTTTGTATCAATATTGATTCAGGTTTGAGGTATGAGAGGTCTTCTGTAGAAGAGATAAAAATAAGGTGGAGCTAGTGCTTAAACTAAAAGTTTCTCATATTTGAGTAGTAGTGTATAAAGTCTTTTTTTCAATTACTCTATTAATCAATTACTCTATAAGAGATGAAGACACATGACAAATGCCCATCAACAGCCCTATAGTGGATATGAAGTTACTTATTGGGCTCATCATCTGTCCAAAACCCAATGTTTTGAAAAAAATATATTCAACTAAGCAGAAGTGAAATAACAAAAAGGGTGCTCATTTAAAATGTACTGACTAATGTCTAATTGATTTGACCTGGTTCACGTCAGTGTACTGTAAGGTTATGTGGACGTTTCCTATATGTTATAAGAATTTTGAACAAAAGAGTTTAGTCTAGTCATTATTCATTATTTACATAGTGTTAACAAGCTAACTTTTATAGCAAAACATTCACTAAGCTACAAGGACTAGCAAACTAGAAAGAGATTTAAACTGTGGCTACTGCATAAATTTTAAATACCAGCGTGGACTGAAGAATGAAATGGAAAACTCTGAAAAGCATCAAATATCTGTATTCCAGCCAAGTTTTAAAAACTCTCGCTATTATTAGCAGACAGTTACATGGGGGAGATAATACAGGAAACAGGCAGGAACATGCAGTGAAGGAAAGTTACTAATATTAGGATGACCTTGGTGTTCGAGGCTTATTTGTGATCCCTCAGACAGTTTATTTCCTGACAGTCCTCAAAGAAAAGGGAAAAGAAGAAAATTTTTTTTTTCTAAACTGCACAGTCATACAAGTCTGCACACAAACACACACACACACAGTCCAAACATCCGCTTACCAGCCTGTTTCCTGTTTTCAGGCTGCGGAGCGAGAAATGGATGGATGTCCAGGTGGGAGACATCATCAAACTGGAAAACAACCAGTTTGTCACAGTGAGTAAACTGTTGAAAATATTTTTTATTCCCAGAACAGATATCAGCTACATTTATTGTCTTTGCATTTTGTTTTGTCCTTGTACTTCTGTCGTCTTGATTTATTAATTTTGGATTTTGGATTTATTTTTTTTACGTCATGGCAGATTTTAGAATGTGTGTGCAAAGAAAGTAAAGCATGAAATGTTGCATCATTACATTTGTTTGGGAATATGCACAAAGCAGTCACTAAAACCTGAGTTTTCAACTGGTGTTAAGTTACAATAAATTCCTACAATGATTCTTTGATTGAAACTTTAATAGATAAGGGTTATTTTGTTGTTGTTGCCGTCAGCTGTACCTAGTTTTGTACACTGTTCCATAGTATTTAGTTCATAGTATGATGAATCAGAAAACAGATTTTTCTGACACAGCCGGAGGTCAGCTCAGAGTTGCCTTCATATGTGATTTGATTATCAGAATGACAAACTAACAGCAGATTTCAGTGACAAAACCCTTCTATAATTTCAGGCTGACCTCCTGTTGCTCTCCAGCAGTGAACCTCTCAACCTGGTGTACATCGAGACAGCAGAACTGGATGGGTTGGTCTATTTCCTGTGCAACCTCATGACGTGGGCTCGTTTAACACTGTTACAAACTGTTACACACTGTTATACATTGTCTCTCATTACGGTACTGCTTCATCTCTTTCCTATTCTTCCTGTTTACCTTCCTTTTCCCCCTTCCTCCTTTTTGTCATCGTATGATTCTCTTCGACCTTGCCTCGTCCCCCTCCTCCTCCTCCTCCTTCCACTTTCACTTCCTTCTTCTCTTTATGTCTACCGTGTCATCCTCCCCCTTCTCTTTATCTTCCTCCTTTCCTCCTCAGAGAGACAAACTTGAAGGTGAGACAGGCCTTGACCGTGACTGGAGACCTGGGGGACAGTATTAGAAAACTGGCAGACTTCAACGGTAAGACTACAACAAGATTAGACTACAAACATGCACAGCCTTTAAACACACACCTGATACAAGTTACAGTATGTGTAAACCTCTGTTACCTGAAGAAGCTACACAGTGCCAAATAGTAGTAGCAGTGAGATTCTGCTTAATACGATAAAAGCAATAGGCACATTTTGAGTTATTTATAAAGGCAGTCCCACCTAATCTGACCAGTGTTGCTAAAACATGTCCCTGGGTATTTTTCTGTATTTTTAATTCTAAAATAAATGATTAAAATAAAGTTTTGTTTCACACGCTTTGCTATGACAGCTGTTATTATCTTTGCTGTTTTTCAGCATTTGCACATTGATTCAAATTCATTAATTTGACCCATATGTATAGAATTGCACATTTTGTGACTTAAATTCCTAGTGGTACAATGACCATCTTGTAATCCGACCCAGGAACGGGTGATGAATGGATTACAAGCTACACAAAGACTCATCGACACATATTCATACAAATTATTTGCATATGTGCTTTAATAGTTTTTGTCATTGTGAGCGCATCCTCAAACCTGCTGTATTACCTCTCTCTGCCTCAAGGCGAGGTGCGCTGTGAACCCCCCAACAACCGCCTCGACCGCTTCACAGGAACGCTAACCTACGCTGGTCAGAAATACTCGCTGGACAATGAGAAGATCCTGCTGCGAGGCTGCACCCTCAGGAACACCGAGTGGTGCTTTGGACTGGTGCTGTTTGGAGGTGGGAAGGATTTTTCACACTGTGTTGATAGGGAACTAGTGGAAACTGTAAACCTTGAAACCATATTAAGAGAGATATAGGAAAAATCAAACCTTAAGCAGTCTGATATGACTTGTATTTGACTTCAAAATACACTAAGACAGTTTTAAAAGAACTACAGGAGGAAGATATGAGATCATATGAAGTTTCTGTTCTTTTTCTGCAGGTCCAGAGACGAAGCCTGATGCAGAACTGTGGGAAGAGCACATTTAAGAGGACTAGTATAGACCGTCTGATGAATGTCCTTGTCCTTTGTGTGAGTCCTCAAATCATTTGCCTGTTTATCTGATCTTAGGATGGCAAACAATTAAGTATTTTGTAATTAGAAGTGTTGACAATTTAGAAGCCTATTTTCAGTTCATCTGTTGATTGGGTTTTGAAATCGGTGCTTACTGCTAAATCAGGTCATTACCTAAAAGGAACTTGTGACAAGATGTACGCTGTTGTTACCCAGAGCAGTGATGACCAGACAGGCAAAGGACAATTTACACATACAGGAATTATAACAAGTGAAATCCAAGGGGGAAAAAGTCCACACTGCACTGTTTGATTCGCTGGTGGCTTTTGGAAGATGCAGTGCAGTAACGCCACAGTAATGGCTTAGCACAGGAAATATATTATAGACTGCTGCTTCAAGAAAGTTCTCACCAAGCGAATGCTCCTATAAAATTACATCCAGTTTAAGATTTTTTTAACCAAAATCTTGAACCGTTTAATGTCTCAGTCTGTCAGGTTTCATAAGTATTTTCATATACATGGTTGAAGAGTTTGATTCTTACATGAAAATGTCTTTGGCGTTTGTGTGTCATAGTCAAAGACTTGTATCTACCTGTATTTGCACATCTCATGTGTAACATTTCAGATGCACCAGAAAACATTTATTTATTTATATTACAGGATAGTGTTATTTAGTTAAAAGTCAGTGAGTTTGGGAGCGATATTATTGACTAAATGTTTGGTAGTCGGGTTGAGTCTTAATTACTTTTGGACTACGAATTGTATTTTACCAGGACTCAGTTATCCAGTAATTCCTGATAATTGTTTGTTTTTTGTTTTTTTACATATTTCAATTTCTACAACACACAGTATTTGCATGCCTTTGATGCTAATTTAACCTAAACGTACCTTACTTTCCATGCAGATTTTTGGTTTCCTGGCCTTCATGTGCACCATCCTGGCAATAGGAAACTGCATCTGGGAGCTGAACGAAGGCTCAGAGTTTACAGTCTTCCTGCCCAGACAAGATGACAATGATGCTGCTTTTTCTGCCTTCCTAACATTCTGGTCCTACGTCATCATCCTCAACACCGTGGTGCCCATCTCGCTCTATGTTAGGTAACAACATGTGTGAAATTGTTATAAATAACAAGATTATATAGTATGTGCTTCTTCCCAATTCCTGTATCTGCATCTTTGGCAGTGTGGAGATCATTCGGTTGGGGAACAGCTTTTACATTGACTGGGACAGGAAGATGTATTACGCGCGGAACAACACCCCCGCCGAGGCTCGTACCACCACGCTGAATGAGGAGCTCGGCCAAATCAAGTACATCTTCAGTGACAAAACAGGGACACTCACCCAGAATATTATGATCTTCAACAAGTGCTCCATCAACGGCAAATGTTACGGTAAGATTCAAGACATTTACCTGCACTTTTCTATAATGAAGTGCATTTGAATACAGAAGCAACTGTAGATACTATGGGTTTCTTCTAAGACCCAAATAGAGGCAAAATTTAGCAACAAGGGTGCTACACGAAAAAGGTTTGTAACCATGATTTTAGTTATTGGCAATAACTCTTTTTGCACACAATCCAACAGACACAATGTTTTTCTCTGAAGTGTTTCAAACGTTTATCATCCATATAATAAAAAATACATAACTTAGGGTTAGGGAATGCTTTCTTTAATAATAATATATACAACTTTCTTCCAAAATACAGTTTTGGCTATTTCCACATCATGTGAAAAAAAAACCCTATGTGAACACCCAGGGCCCATGAGCTCTTGATAAGGAGCTACAAATGGCTAAACTAAATATTGGCTTACACACAATGATGGCATACATACATACATTGTGCATTAAATACTTTTAAATAGAAAGACTCACTTTATTGGAGATTTTTCGGTCCTTCAGCAGGCAAAGTACATACAGAAAAACAGCTACCTGCTACAAATTAATGAGCTCTTCAAATACCAAAAAAACAAACCTGGTACATGGGTCCTCAAATTGCATACAAACAGTCAATTTTCTACTATTATGGAAACTGGGTTCAGGTCACACAATATGATGATACAATGATTTTAGCAACCTTTAGTTGCTATGAAAAAATTTATGTCAATAAACGTCCTTCAGTTTAATTCTAACTAAACTGAGCTTCTCATCATTGGCCCTGAAAATGTTACTATTATCATTTTCCAGCATATTGGCCCACTTACCTCCTATGTTAAACCAAACTCCAGGAATCTTGGTGTTAAATTGAACCCTCATTTGAAATTCAAAAACCTTGTCAACAAAGTGGTTGAATCAATTATTTTTTTTTCAGAATCTTTGCAAAAATCACACCATTAATATCGGCTTCTGACTTAGAACACATCATTCATGCCATCATTTTACAAACTCAATTTCACTATATAACCTGTTTTATTGTGACAAAATAAAATCTACCTACCAACTTACATTTTCTCTCATCAGCAGTGCCCTTTTCACTTGAGTCAAACTGCCTGGCACGTCTACAGCTTGTACAGAATGCAGCAGCTGGGCTTTCAACTAGGACTGGTGATGATCTCACGTCACTCAAATTTTAGCCTCACTGCACTGGCCGCCAGTTTAGTTTAGGATAGATTTAAAAATTTTATGGCACTACATGGTTTAACTACCGCCTAAATTTCCGAGCAACTAAGCCCTTACACCACCAAGCAACCTCTTAGGTCTTCCATCTACAACTTGTTGGCTATATCGTGAGCCAAATGTTAAACAAAAGTTCTTTCACTGTCCTGGCACCCACACACTCCCTCCTCCCATTTGATCAGCTGAGTCTGTTGACTGTTTCAATGAAACATTCAAAATCTCACTTCTTAAGGTTAGCTTTTGATAACTCCAAATGGTATGCTACGAGCAGTGTCTGATTGCTAAATGCTATGTGTATGACCTTTTAAATGTCTTATATTGTCTGCTATGTAGCAGAAGGGAGTTACAAAACACAATTTCACTCTATAACGTTTTATATTGTGACAATAAACCTACCTACCCGAAGGCATTTGCTTCTATATCCATGATTTAACTGTATATGCGCACTTGTGAGTTTAATCTGGTTCTGGTTCTGCTTGAGGTTTCTGCCTCTTAAAAGGAAATTTTTCCTTGCCTCTGTCACTTAGTGCTTGCTCTTGGTGGGAATTGTTGGGCTTCTGTAAATAACATCACAGAGTACGGTCTAGACCTGCTCTTTTATGAAAAGCGCTGTGAGATAACCGTTGTTGTGATTTGGTGCTATATAAATAAAATTTAATTTAATTTAATTTAATTTAATTTAATCTATATTCTTTTTCTTCTTTTCAGGGGATGTGTATGACTATACAGGTCAAAGACTAGAAATTTCGGAGGTGAGTTGATTCTTCATATCTAAATGGCAAATTAGGTCAGTTGGGTCTGTGTTTTTACTTTATCCTTTTTTCAAGACAACTTCCCTTTCTGTTTTCAATGGTGTTGTACAACCGCCAAATGTATTATCAACGCTACAGTTACTTAATCAAAAAAAATTTGTTTCTTAACTGAAGAGTGGTTACAAATTGTTATTTTGTCACAAGGGTTAAATCATGTAGATTAGGGCTGGATTATGTCAAATTTAGTGATCCTTCTTCTTCTGCCTCATCAGCATACAGAGACAGTGGACTTCTCCTTTAACCCGCTGGCTGACCCCCGCTTCATATTCCACGACCACGCCCTGGTGGAGGCGGTGAAGCTGGAGGACCCAGAGGTCCACGCCTTCTTCAGACTGCTGGCCCTCTGCCACACCGTCATGGCCGAGGAGAAGAAAGAGGGTGAGGGGAGACCAAGTGTTTCTGTGTGAAAAGAAGAGCAGCACATTTTGTAACCCAATAGATTAATGCAAATCTCATTCCAGTCAAAGCACAAGTTTGGGAATTAATCAGCCACATTTATAATGTTTCAGCATTTTCTGTCGTTGCTTTGGAGGATTCCTCTTACCCCTCTGACTTTTTGCTCCTTCAGGTGAGATTTTCTACCAGGCCCAGTCTCCAGATGAGGGAGCGTTGGTAACAGCGGCCAGAAATTTTGGATTTGTCTTCCGCTCACGTACACCAGACAGTGTTTCCATCGTGGAAATGGGACAACAACACAGCTATGAACTCCTGGCCATCCTGGATTTCAACAACGTCCGCAAGAGGATGTCCGTCATAGGTATATAATCCATTGAAAATGATTGCTTGGAATAAAGGTTTCTATTTAGTGTTATTTCTCATATAGACTGCTGTCGCTGGAGAGTTTTACCGTTGACCCATGTGATGATTTGAAAAGAGATTCCCCCCCCCCCCCTTTTATTTTTGGGTCATTTTTTGGGATCACTGTCTTTTTTGCTTGTCTGGACATATTTGGTTTCGTGTATGTTTATGTGTGCATTTGTGTTTACAGTTCGGAGTCCAGAGGGGAAGCTCTCTCTCTACTGTAAAGGTGCAGACACAATCATCTATGAGAGGCTGCACCAGTCCTGCAGGAAGCTGATGGACGTCACTACAGAGCACCTTAACGTCAGTAACATATCTCGTTGTGTTCATCCAGGAGAGAAATGTACTTCTGAGATTTGATTTTCGGTCTTTATCTGAATGCTTCTTGTGCTTTTTCCCCCTTTTTGCTGGATGTTTGTGTGTTCTTCCATTATATGTCAAGTGTGTTAGTGTGTGTTTATACAGAGTCCAGCTGAATGTGCACGTATTCCATCTAGATATGAAAAGTCCACAGGGGAGTCATTCAAAAAACTCTTGCTGCCCTGGAAGCGTAAATAAAACAAATGATAATAATCACAATAATCTTCCTTTGTGTGGCACTTATGTATTTCCCCTAATGATTGAGGCAATAAAAATAAAAAGAAGTTTGATGTATAAAGATGATTCAAATTATAGTTAAAGACAGAACACAGAAAGATCATTTAATAAGTTTTAAGTAGAGCTGTAAAAGACATTACTGAGGTAGCAAGATAAAATTCAACAGGCCTGTCCCACATTATCCAATCTCCTTTAGTATAAAACGTTTAGACAGGGGGACTGAAAAGTGACAGTTGATTTCAAAATTAATAAATGAATGCTTGAGCTAGACCATGGAGTGCTTTAAAAGAAATGACTAAAACCTCAAAATCATTTCAATTACACGTCAATGCAAAGAGGCTAAAACTGTGGTTATGTGTGTGATATATCTTGTTTATAAGGCAGGCAGTATTCTATTCTAGTATTCTTTTCAAAACAAATCCCATAGAGACCAAAACCAACATTGATTACATTAGTCCATCTCGCAGAACTTTCTGACTTCCGTACCCTGTTTGTAACACTCAGACTCAAGCCCTTTGATTCCTACTCAAGACTTTAATCTTTAAAATCAGGTTACAGGTTAAAGGTTCAGTAATTTCCTAAAACGGCTGGGAACTGTAGTTTTTAGCAGCCGTTACTCAAACAGGAGGAATAGTGCATTTCATTGGGGACTGTTTCCGGACACACATACACATTTAACGTGTTTATTGTAGCAGATGACTCAAGATAAACAACAATGCCCATGTTCATCATAATGAATAAAAATGACCCAGTGCAATACTGTGGCCAACTGATGTGTTTTTAATATGTTCAGGACAACAAAGGAGCTCCATGGTACAGAGAAATAAACTGTATCAGGCTTTAGATACACAGGCAAGACTTGTTAGTACCTTCATGTTTGTGTTATGCCCTGCCTCTCCTACACTCTTTCTTTCTCTATTTATTTCCTCTCCACTCTACTCCCTTTCTTTCTCTTTCTTGTTCAGCTCATATCATAGAAAACATAAACAACTGGTTATCTCCTGATTGTCAGTTTTTCTTCTCGTGTTTTATTACCCAGATTGCAAAATGTACAGAGCTGAGCACATGAATTTAACTTAAGTTTATCTTCAAATTTCAAATACCATCAGCTTATGTGTATATGTGTGTGTGTGTGTGTGTGTGTGTGTGTCAGTGTCTTGCAGGATGTGTTTCATGTATTTAAATGTGTGTACCTACTTGTGCAGTGTTCATCCATATAAGTATGTGCATTTTGATCTGCAGGAGTTTGCAGGGGAGGGCCTGCGGACTCTGGCGCTGGCCTATAAGGATCTGGATGAGGAGTATTTCAACCAGTGGAACCAGCGCCACCATGAGGCCAGCACCGCGCTGGATGAGAGAGAGGACAAACTGGACCAGCTGTATGAGGAGATAGAGAAAGATCTGCTGGTAGGAAAACAAATTGTCACGTTTCAGTATTTTTGTCAAATGCACAGTATGTTGATTATGTATCTGAATATGTTTGTCCAGCTGCTTGGAGCAACAGCCATAGAAGACAAGTTACAAGACGGAGTACCTCAGACTATTGAGCAGCTGTCCAAAGCCGACATCAAAATCTGGGTTTTAACCGGCGACAAGCAAGGTACTTTTTTTTTTCGACTCTTTATTGAACATGTTAAAAGATAACAACAAAAACTAAATAAAAACAAACAATCAACAAAAAAGATCATCAGCAGATGATCCAAATAACAGTCATGTTCAAAGGGGGTAGGAAAAAGTTAGAATAACTTCAACCCCCCACTTCAATTATATATTTTAACTACTTAAAATGTTTGCATCATTTAAAAAATAATGATGTATTTAATTGATAACATATTCATTCATCATTCTTTAGATGGAAACAAGTCTCAGAAAGTCTAGTCATTCACAACAATTCAGTTTTATCTACAGCAATCAATAATCAAAGAGAAGGTTTCACTTTCTTAACCTGTCGTCATCTTGTTTTGTGTCAACCAATTTATTTGGAGGTAAAACAGAAAGTGAGCAAACCCAAAATGTTTGTAATAATCCCTGAATGTGTAGGAACACCTACACATCAGTAAACTGTCAATCAGTCAACTGGGAGGGATTTTTATGGACAGTTTGTATAATAAATTTACCATTTGCCTTTGTTTTTGTATCTCTGCACCAAAAAAGTTTTTTTCCTTATGTTTCTCGACACATTTGACTTGATGTCCAATTCACCAATTATGTAATTACTTTAGATTTATGTCAAGTGAAGATGTCTGTCCTTCATTGTCATTAGAAACACTGGTACCCCTCAAAATCTGCATCCATTTCAACATTAGACATTTGTTTTCAGATTCTGTAAGCTTGAAATTATACCTTAGAAACCCTTAAAATCAGTCTACAAGACCCCAAGTTGTAGTTCCACTGTTGTAGTTGCTCTATACATCCCTGCAAATTTATTGTACCGTTCATCATCATCAACATCATGCAGAATTGTTAATATAGCACTTCAGTGTGTTATATGTAGATGACTTTTATTCATGTTCTGCACCTCATATGTGTGGTTATTGTCCACGCACTGATGTTGATTATTTGTGTTGCAGAAACTGCAGAAAACATTGGGTACTCATGCAACTTACTGCGTGAGGAGATGAACGAGGTCTTTGTCATCTCGGGCAACTCACCGGAGGATGTCAGACAGGAACTGAGGTCAGATGAAGTTTTCAAAAAAGTATTTTAGAGCAAACATGGGTAACTGAGTAGCAGATTATTAAATGTTTCCAGGTATCCATACATTTTTAATTTCTTGTGGAGCAGAAATGCACGGACTTCCATGAAACCAGATGCAATGGAGGATTCGGTGTTTCTTTACCCAGAAAGGACTCTGGGTAAAGGTGTGAAAGTGATCATGGACGAGGTGGTCAATGGAGAGTATGGCCTGGTTATCAACGGACACAGCCTGGTACGTCACAAGAAGTTTCCCTGTTACGATGCATGCTATAACTGTCCTTTGTGCCTTTTCTTCCTTATTATTTGTTAATCAGTCAAAAGTGTGCAAAAGTACCCCAACCTTGATCAAATCAACCATATAAAGGCATCATTAGAGGCTTTATTTTATTAACAATCATATCTGATCTTTGCCAACTCTGACCACCTGCCAGCTTCCAAGCTGTTGTAATCGTTATGACCTCCTATTGGTATTTTACTGTATATCGACCTCTGCAGTTGGTGACACTACATTTAAGTTTTTCAGCTGTTATATAATTCCTGCACTTCACCACTTTCCATCTCCTCAGGCGTACGCCCTCGAGCGCAGCATGGAGCTGGAGTTTCTGAGGACGGCGTGTATGTGTAAGGCAGTGATCTGTTGCAGAGTCACTCCTCTGCAGAAGGCTCAGGTGGTCGAGCTGGTCAAGAAGTACAAGCAGGCAGTCACACTGGCTATAGGAGATGGAGCCAACGATGTCAGCATGATCAAAGGTATGAAGCAGGGCACGTTAAAGATCAATGTTTTTCATCCCATGTAGGAAATCTGCATCTGAGGATTTAGAAATAAACGAAGACGAGAGGTCATGATAGACAAAGTACACCGAAACAGAAATTGCTTGTCACAAATAACAGAAAAATGATTTTTACCTGAAAAGGTTGCTGCTGCTAAATACTGCAGCAACTATACATTACAGAGCAGACCATGCATTGACTCTATTTTAATAAAAAAAATTTTTAACAAAAGTGGTAAAATAGTTTTTCTAGCCTCTCAAATGTGAGGATTTTGTTTTATATCACTGTAAACAATTTATAAAACAGTTCTTTTTACAAAGCAAGCAGTATGAAGACATGACCTTGGGCTCTGGGAAATTCTAATGTGTGTAATGGGCATTTTTATTATTTTCCATTGTATTGATTTAATCAAGAACATAATCTGCAGATTAATCGAATGAAAATAAGCCATAATTACCTACAACTAAGTGTATACTAACTTCTCAGCACTAGTTTGCAGACCAAAAAGCAACAACTGGTGAACATAGTGGAGCATCCAGCCAGATATTCTTCTCAGGAGCTGGTGGAGACTAAAATAAGAGCTAAATGAATAGTCAATATTGTACTTCCATCTGTCAGGTGGAAAGAAACATGACTCCCAGTAAATTATAGTATTTCTCTGTGCCTGCTGCTAACATGTCAGCAGTAACAATTTAAAGAGCCAGTGATATAGTGAGTGTCTCTCAGCTTGTTTTAGTCTATCTCTGCCCCCTAGTGGCCAGAAATATATTAATGAAGCTTGAAGTTGTAGGATATAATTTGGTGTTGCCAGAAATAAAATGATAAATAGAAATTCAAACAACCTTTTCCTCTTCTGCTCAGCGGCTCATATCGGCGTGGGCATCTCAGGTCAGGAGGGCATGCAGGCTGTGCTGTCCAGCGACTACTCCTTCGCCCAGTTCCGCTTCCTGCAGCGCCTCCTACTGGTGCACGGCCGCTGGTCCTACCTGCGCATGTGCAAGTTCCTGCGCTACTTCTTTTACAAGAACTTCACCTTCACCTTTGTCCACTTCTGGTACGCCTTCTTCTGCGGGTTCTCGGCACAGGTGAGAGCAAAGTCAGATGGAGGGAGGAGGGTGGATGGAGAGGAGGAGAAAGAAACAAGGACTGTGATAGTAGATTGAGGTTTAGAGGAAAGAAAGATGCAAATGAGCTGTCATCACCATTTTTGTAGAAATTCTTCTCTTGCTTTTTTTTTTTACTCTGGCATATGAGGATTATGTTGCTATTATTAATCCCACTGACAAAGCTCTGATTGGCTTGGTTGAACAGGGAAACACTGATAAACTGAGCAGAACACCCGACCTAGTCAGAGGTCTGGAACCAGGCTACGAATGGTTTGGGAAAGACTGAAGGGAGTAATATGTAGGGAAAAAATAGAACAAAACAGTTACAGTAACAGTTACAGTAACAAATAAAGGTGTATTGTTTTGTGTTAGAAATATAGTCTTAGTTGTAAAGTCTTTTTATTACAAAAATCAAGATTTTAATAATATATAGGTGAATATTTCTCAACTGTGCACTGCTATAAAGTCTCAGGAAATACTGAACATAAAATAATGAAAATCATCTGACTGTCTTGTATTTTTGAGAATTCAGGTTGTGGAAGTTATTGATGTTCTGCTTTTGACTTTGCTTTTCAGACGGTGTATGATGAATGGTTCATAACACTCTACAATCTGGTGTACACAGCACTACCTGTACTGGGAATGAGTCTGTTTGATCAGGTGACTAATTGATTGCATTTATGTATTTATGTGGGTTGTGCCATAGAACAACAAGCTGGCAGACGTGATAATGAGCCTTATACATAATCACCTTTTATACAAAGAACAGAGCTCAGTCTTCTCGCTGACAGAACAGAAAACAGAAACACACAGACTTCATGCCTTTGTCTCTCCCTGCTGGTCAGGATGTGAATGACGTTTGGAGTTTCCAGCATCCTCAGCTCTATGTTCCTGGTCAACTCAACCTGTACTTCAGCAAGAAGGCCTTCTTCAAGTGTGCCCTCCACAGCTGCTACAGCTCCTTGGTGCTCTTCTTCATCCCCTATGCAGCCATGCATGACACCGTGAGGGACGACGGGAAGGACGTTGCTGACTACCAGTCCTTCGCCCTCCTCACCCAGACATGTCTGCTGTTTGCTGTCAGCATCCAGGTAAGAGGAACCTTTCCTACTGGATAATCTTGTCTTTTGCAAATTAAAAGCATTACACATATTTTTTTTCTCTGTGCCTACAGTTGGGGTTGGAGATGTCTTACTGGACGGCGGTGAACACTTTCTTCGTGTTGGGCAGTCTGGCCATGTACTTTGCTGTCACATTCACCATGTACAGTAACGGCATGTTTCTCATGTTGCCGTCAGCTTTCCCTTTCATAGGTGAGTAGTTAACTTATAAGTAACTTATAAACTCACCAAATGGACGCTGCATTGTGCCAGTGGCTATAATTCACTTTAAACAAATTCTGTGTACATTTCCACATTTCTGGTGGTTAACAAGTCAACAAGTGTTAACATGCATGTCAGATCCAAAAGAAAGCTTTGTTCATTCTAGTATAAAAGGCTCTGCCAGAGAAAAGTTGGCAGTATAATTCAAATGAGTTAAATTATACTGCCAAATACAGAAATACGAAATTGAGTTGGGTATGTTTGCACAGTCAAAATATCTAGTTTACATCTAAACCAAATATTAAACCTGGCTAGGATCATTCCCTGCCCCTTGAATATACTGTCGCCTGTAGTTTCTCACCAAGGTCATGTGAAGGGCCAAGTACTGAGCTTCAACATATTTTCAGGGCCAACAAAATTGTTTCTCTTTACTCTGCTGGTACTGAAAGTTGGTATCAGACGCTTGGTCACACTCTTAGTCTTGTTTACGTATTCTTTAAATAGATATTTCCTGAATGAAAAAAGTAATTTTGTTAAATTTTTTGTCAAGACTTAATTAAACACTGGTGAGTTTGAGAGTTTTTGTTTGTTTTGTTGAATTGAAAAAAGATCTTCTAGAAAAGCACGATATACCTCTCTGCCAGGTATAAAAAAATGTATCCTTTTGGTACTGAACTCAAGATTTAGGTGTTGTTATGGCAATTGTATCAGAAACATTTCAATATTTCAAATGTGTTTCTGCCTAAACATAACCTTTTGTAATCTTGTACATAAATGTCTTCTCTAAAAATAAGTAAATGTCTTAAAGATAAGCCACCTGATATGAGTACTCTGGAATTTCCTTCACTTTTGTATTTAATGACACAAAATTTAATTTCACTTTAAGTATACCGGTAGTTTAAAAACTCACTCAGCAGCATTTACTGACCTCTAGAAACAACAGTATTATTAGTAGTATAGTAGATCAGTTAAGTTAGATAGTTAATACTGTCCATAAATCATTAAAGAGTTCATATTATGTTTTTTGGCCTGTTCCCTCTCCTTTATTGAGTTATAGACTTTTTTTGTGCATGTAATAGGTTTGCAAAGTGAAAAAGCCCAAAGTCCACCCCAAAGGGAGTTCCCATCTCCCACAGAAAACACAGCTCTGAACTGCCTGAAAGCAGCTCGTTTGTAGTCCAGCTTTTTCCCTTTCATCCCTGTGACGTCACAGCGAAATGCGCGTCATAACGCTCACCTAGCGGCTACTCCGACACACTCTCAAAAACACAGGTGGAAAAAAAAACAGTGACAAGATGTCCGCCTGCTGCCTCTCCTCTCCCTTCCAAACACTAGCTACCCTCCAGGCAGTCAGTGGACATAAAGTTGTACTGTGATATAGAGACAGAGCTCAGTCAAAACTTTATGGATGAAAGATACATTTGTTACAGATGAATAACTCACCACTCTGAAACTCTTGCTCTAGTCTATGTTGCTAAGCTGGTAGCAGCTGGTAGTAAGCTGGCTTCTCACTGACCCGCCCTTCTCTGCTTCTGATTGGCTAGTTGTCCTTAACTAGGAACTGTGCATGTGCAACTCCCAACAAAGATCATTTAGAGACAAGATGTCCATAGTTAAAATGAAGCCTTCACACACAGGGTAAAAGAGGAGCTGCAGCAATGTGCTGTATGACAAAAATATGGTGTTTTTGAAAATGAAACCATGTAAACCTGTTCTGGTACAACCCCCTAAATAACCTGAAAATTAGCATAATATTACCTCTTAATAGTAATAGTCAATAGTATATCATGACAGACATACAAGTACAAACCTTGTGTATGTGTGTGTTTGTGCAGGAACAGCCCGAAATTCTCTGAACCAGCCGAATGTTTGGCTAACAATCCTCCTCACCTCCATCCTGTGTGTCCTTCCTGTGGTCACCTACCGCTTCCTGTGGCTTCAGCTCTGCCCCACCATCAATGAAAAGGTACAGATGGAACTATTCTACACTTAACACATTTGCTAAGATACAGCTGCATTTCATATACATGAACTTCTTTAAATTCACGCCACCCTTTTCAGATTGTACGAGAAATTATCTGAAGGCAAAGTGGTTTACAGCAAACTGTGAGGCGCGACCCCCTGTCAGTGTGTCAGGATATCATTATCTCCAATGTCCATTGAAATAAACAGAATACCAACAGAAATGACAAAATCCATTAATATTCAGTTATTTCATGTTGCACTATGTTGGAGAATTATCATCCATCCAGACAGGGGTTCAAACCCTGGTTCTGAGGAGATAAAATATTTTCTCCTACATGTTTTTTGTTTGACTTCAAGAAAACTTTGACTGCAGTGTAAGTGGTAAGTGTTCCTCTGTCCAACATTTTGACTTTGTCACTATCTGCCCAAACTATCAGGTGATGTTCAAGGTGAGACAGGCCAAAGCAACACCTGTCCCTCCGCCTCGACGCACCCGCATCCGCCGCACCAGCTCCCGCCGTTCAGGCTACGCCTTCTCGCATGCGCAGGGCTACGGGGACCTGATGACATCGGGCCGGTTCCTGCGGCGCCCTGCTGTGTCACGACCTTCGGGGTTCACCCACGTGGGTCGCACCACCACGGGCTTCAGTCCTATGGGACGATCGGCTGGATACAGCCCGACAGGACGACCCCAGAATGCCAAGGTCCCGGATGTGGAGGTGACATCGCTACAGATGTACAAGACTATCAGAGATCCGGTCTTCTGAAAGACTGTGGGTTCAGTTTAAGAGGGTGTTTGGAGAAGATCTGGGAGAAGGAATAATGCCAACTGGACAGCTGTCTGCCTCTGGCAGTCCGAGATGTTGAAAACTCCCATTTGTTCACCATGAAAAACTTCCTCAGGACTTCTAGAGAACTTCATGTCAAAGATTTTTCATGATTCACCTCTCATCTGCCCGTCACCTAAGACGATGTTTGAGAAGTACATGACTTTTGCTCCAAGCATTTTATTTTGCATTAGTTTATCAAAAGGAACTAGTGCTGCCGCTTCTGAAGGGTATATGGATCATTATCCTTTGATCATGAGTGTTCATGTAAAACATGCCTCATGCTCAGCCAACAGATGAGAGATTAAATCTTTTGGTCACTAGAAACAGTAAGAGGATGATTCATTTTCAGACAGGAACTAACCCAGAGGGAAAACATTTCAAGAGAAAGACAAAGTGTCATCATGTTTACAGACTTCCCAGATTCTCTCAACCCAATAGTCCAGATGCACAGCAGAGCTTTGTACAGAGGATGTAACCAGCAAAGTGTCTTTTTAAAGTATTTTATTTTCCTATCTTGAAAGCTGTACAAGCAGTCGGCACTTTGGTAGCGTCACTTGGCTGTGGGAGATAACTGAACATTTGAACGATCATAAATGTGTCGAAAACTGATACGGCAAGAAAACATATTTCAGCATTGTTGGCCCATCCAACTTTTGCCTGACATTTTTCTTCACAAAGTGTGTCTTGTTTCATTTCTTACTGTGTGCTGAAGGAATTCTCTTGCAACTTAATGTTCCAGGGTCACTGCTGTGCAGAAGAGGACAACACAGGGATATTTAAATTACAATCATCAGTACAGCTGTGCAATGAGACATTCTTTATACTTCAAGGGTAAGTTTATTATTGGTTAGGAAAAAATATATTATTCCTTAACAGATAAGAAAGAACCTGTTATGAACAGCAGTGTTTGGACTGCCAGGCTGTGAACGCTCCATTTTAAAAATGTATACAACTTTCTACGAAGTGACTCATGAAGGTAATTTCTTTCACAGATACACCGAATAGAAAGAAATTAATAAAGGGGATCCTTGCACCAAAGGAATCCATAAAGTATGTGGCTGTGCAATTATCTATCTTAAGTGGACTGCTACTAATAATTTTGAAAGTATTTTTTTGACCACAACATGTCACATTTGATAAGAGACAGTGGTGCTGGGCCAGATTTTTTGTACATTAAAAGCTAATAAGTTCTTAATGATTGGTTTTTGGTCTGGATGCTCTGCAAGTGGTTAAATCAAAGCACTAGTGAAAAGACGGTGCAAGTTTTATCCTGTGCAGGGTTGCTGGGGAGTCTATAGCAGCATGCTTTGTGCAGGAGGAGGGGTTCATCCTGTCAACCTTACTTGTAAGTCTTTAGACCAGCCAAAGAGATTTTTCACAACCTGGCAACCCAAAAATTGCCATTTCTAATGGCTCATTTCCAATCTGTCTATTTATGAACTAAAAATAAAGTCATTAGTTATAATTGATAAACAGTTGATGCCTTGTTGCTACCAAGTGCTACCAAATCTTCTACAGTGCAGCTTTATAGTAGCATTAAATGTGCCTCACTTTTAAGGTCTTGGGTTTACATTTTGAGTTGTTTTCCAGTTATAGCAACTGAGAGTCTAAGGCCGTATTAAAGCCTACTGTAAAGGACGTGGTAGATCACCAGATCATGTCTAGATCCAGTTTAGAGGGACTGTAGTTCATTATGTGACCCTGAATGTGTCTTAAATGCTCTATGAGTGACAGGCCAGATTTTGAGTCCCCACTGATTTTGTCTGCTGACTTTTAGCAAACTGACAAAATGGAAAAATGTTTTCTGCATCCAACAGCAAGAGAAGTGGACTACGGCGCATATGTAGGAACTAATCTTAAATACAGATGAGTTGTTTGCTGTAGGACAATTGACCACATATACCTGTGTTTGGGAGGTTTATCATACTGTACACACACTACAAAGTTAACTGGATGGCCCTTTAATCCTTTCAGGAACACATTTGGGTTCACGTGTCCACATGTCCTTGAATATCTAGTTCATTGTCTGCAGTGCTGTTTTTGGTGTGTTCGCACCTGTAATCAGAGCCGACCACAAGTGATAAGATCCTACAGGACGCATTTTAGAGCCAGGTGTTAACAGGCCCTAAAAGACTGCTTATATGATGCCCATGGGCTAATAATGATTCAGATTGCATTTTAAAACCGGTTTATCAGATAGTGCATCACATCATGCTTATTTCAAAGTCATATTTGCCTTAGCAAAACGCTCGCTACTTTATGTCTGACAATCAACTTGAACTATTTATAATCAACAAATATAAATGGCAGTGTACCTTAACTGTTGTCTGGCTTGTTTCCAACATCTTACTCGTCGAACATTTTATCAGCTTACTGAAAATATCAACTTGCGGGAAAATTTACTAGCTATGTTTTAAAGTTAAGCCAGTACAAATATTGTTTTATACAATCAGGTGGTTTTTGAAATGTCATGTCTGTTGTTTAGTACAACCTGAGGATGAGAACTGGACAGCTGCTTCTGTAAGTAAATTAGATCAGTCTTTAATTTATTATTTGGTGTGTGAAGTTTCAAAGAATAGTCCAAATGGAATTGGTTTCATAATTGTACAGTAATACTGTTTAATGTTTGATAGTTGCCCATATGTTTTCCATGTCCCATGGTATCCATTCATATGCTGGTTTTATTAACTCATCAGCTTCAATTCAAACCATAAAGACAGCTGATGGATGCCTTGACGTCATAATGTTGTTGAAGCAACTGCAGTGTTTGTAGCTGAACATCTGTTACCACAGTGCGATTCAGTCACTTGTTGCCCAGAACTGAATGTACTAACTATTACCTGGTGCTGAACCAAAGATCTTTTTAAGGTTTTATGTGTCTTAGTTTACTAAGTAAAATAAGTAAAATTGTTGCTCATCAAACAGAATCTGATCCTGGAGGTCAGTGTGATGAAGCTGGTTTTGCTCTACTTACAGCACAGTTATTATTTACTGTAAAGAGTTTGAATATGCAGAAGAAACATGTGCTACATTTTTGTAAAAATCAAATGTAAATCAAGCGCTAAATCGAGTTTTGTTGTATATTTTTGAAGAATGTTAGTGCGGTGGGACTAACGAGTATGGCATTTCTTTTGATTAATGAAATGTGTCATAATGAGCTCATGAGCTCCAATTTGGTGAAATGAGCCCTTGAATCGTTTTCAAAAGAGCTTTGTCTGCAGTATTAATGCAGAATAAATTCATTAAGAGTGGCCACTACACAGTCCACTAGTGTATTTTACACATGTATTTTCCCACTATTTCGGTGGTACTGTCCAAAATGAATTGTAGCCATAATTAAACTTTTATCAATATCTTTATATACACTTTATATCCCTAGCCCTGAAGACTGAAACTGTAACATATTTCTCAAAGATGATAAGATGTGGCTCTTACTGATAACCATTTTGTATAATTTTATACCGCAATAAAAAGATCAGCATGTGCAGTTGTACCTTTTTCCATTAAGAATTTTCTAATTATTTGTGCATCTGCATGGAGCTGTTATTGTCTACGGCTGAATGTAATGGTATTCTTCAAATCCATTAGCAAGAAAACATGACTTAATTTCATTCTGACAAACCTCCGATGGTTCTGACACTCTGAGACAATGAACAATGTTGGTGATTTATGGAGGTCCTGTAGAATATTTATATTTCAAAAATGCTTTATTTGGCATTGGACTGATATCTGTTCCTAATCAGAGCATGTGTTTAATGAAAGGGCCTACAACATTACAAAAGTTTTCTTACGCCAAATCTTAATGTATTTTCTTTTCATATTTTTGTTTGTTTTACTTTATAGTGCATACTTAGTTAAACTTAATTTAGTAAAGCAATAAAAATATGTTTAATACTGTAAGCTCTGCTTTTGGAAAATGTAATGTGTTTTCTAGAGAGTTACCTTGTAGTGTTGACCTGCTGGTGCAGGAAGCTTTGGACAAGAATTATCTCTCTTCATGACCAGCATAAATAAACTGAGATAAAGTCCAGGTGCAGTTTGCAACCAACAGTAGCACTTCAATGTTGTGGTTAACCTGCAAAATGTTTCTAAAAAAGACGTAAAATGATTGGGTGGCTGCATATTTCTTCACTCTTTGAAGTATCCGTCCCCAGGGGCCCATTTTCTCATAATCCATCCATGTGTTCATCTTTAATGAAGTTGAAAAGAGGAATGCAATATCATGCTTAAGTAATATAATTAGGTGAAAGTTTGTTAGAGAAATTAGTCATATAAAAATCAACTGCATGTCAGTAGAAGGAAAAAAACAAACAAAATAAGGCTTTAGTGATTTAATCGTGGATTTTGCAAGTAACATCTCTCTTGTACAAAAAAATGGCAGAAGATGAAATACTGTATGTAATATTCAGACAAAATTATGTTTTTTTGTGAAGCATAATCTTTGTCCAAACAGCAAAGCAGTGTGACTGCTGTCAGATATGTGCTGTTTAATAAGGGTGCAGCTTGTCACCAGCAGATGGTGTAATAACCATAGACTATATAATAAATACTAAGTCATAACGAGTCTCTGAGAATGAAAGGTCAGCAGGGGCCTCCTGCTCTAATTTGTAAAGTTTGTTTCTCAGTAAATTGCCCAGGGTGTATTCTGCATTTTCCCCAGTGCACGCCAGGATAGCCTCCATCCCTGTGCATCCCTTCAAGGTAATAAGTGGTTTAGCAAATGGCCCAATAGATAAATGGATGGATAATTTCATCTATTCTCACACACACATGCCATCATTGGGGATATTAAAGATCTTGATCAGCATGATGTTGCAACAGAAAACTCACAACTTGAAGTTAAGTTACAGGTTAAAGTTAATGTTACCTTTAAATATTCCTTTCCTTTCAATAATTTAATGATGAGTTGATTTTCTGGCTGAATATTGTATGGCTACTTCAGTATGATTGCATTACAGAGAAGCATTCAATATCATATATCAACAGTAAAGATGAAGATCTATTCTTTAACAGTGAAAAGAAAAACAATTAAAACATGCCAACATAATGAACTTACATTGCCAAGAGTCCAGCTCTGGTCCTACATTATTGCTGTAACATTTTAATTCATTATAAAAGTAAAGAAATCTTCTTGGAGTTTGACAGTTTTGCTTTGTCAAGTCAAGTCAGTTTTATTTAGGCAATACAGCCCAATATAACAAACCGCAATTTACCTCAGGGTGCTTTACAATCTGTGCAGCATACAACATACTCTGTCCTTAGACCTCTAGAGATACTGTGGATATGATACCTCCCAAAATAAAGTAAACAGCTGAATTACAATTAACATTTCAATGACAAAAAGCCAAGTACAAGTTATCTGCTTAACTGTGATTACAATAAAAGTGAAAGCTTTGCTGCCCTCCTGCGAGCGATACACGATGCTGCATTTACGGCACGCAAAAAGACGGTAATTAGAACTTCCTCGCTGAAAAAGACTGTTTCGCTAAAAAGAAAAATTAGACTAATACACAATACAACGTTTTTTGCGATTTAATATGGCATGACACCGCAATTCACTGGATTTGTTCAATTTGTAATTGTCTGGCGTTTGCTTTGTTAAGTGTACCGTATTGCGCAAACTGTCCAAGCCGTGTCCTCTATCGAACACGAGTCGCTCCAACATGTCTTGCACAATTTCCCATAGACGTTGAACGCAGCACCAGGACCAGACTGCCTTACATTGTTAACGTTGATTTCTCCCGTTCTAGCCAGCATTTTGTCTTCCGTGAGCCAAACCGGGGTCACAGGCTCCCACAAAACGCATGAAATCTCGGCTACATTTGGCAGCGGGAACACACACCGGCAAACTGTAAGATACTTTGCAGTGTACTCAAACAATTTGTCTCAGTTTTCGGACCAAGAAAGGGGCAGTAACGCTCGGGAAACATACAAGCTAACGTTAATGTTAACGTTAATTTTCATGATTCTGAATATTTCATACTGCACGGGAATATAAAAGGGGCGAGACGTGGTTTTAATTGAGGCAAAGCTTCACGGTTTGGCTTTTAATTCAGATTTTTTGGGATGTGACTTTTTTAGTACAGAGTTAAACTGGGTTAAACACTTGTCACGGGTCCCCTCAGGTCGTTATTTAAAGAAGATAGGCGAACAATATGACTACTCAGCAGTCATTTTTCTCACTGGTCTGAAAGGAGGAGGAGTAGGCTAGCGTGTTTCCCATGGCTACACCAAGCTTTCATACGGGGTTATTTGCATTCCTAGCCCGCCGGTGGTGACATACGTATGGCTATATTACTATTATCTTTATTCCTGGCAGCTGTTATAGACCAATAATTCAAACGGGCGCCCGGGAAAATGATAAGAGATAGTCGGGACTGAGAGGAAAGATCAGCTCCAGGAGTCGTGACGTCGCCCCGGAGGTGTGCAGGTTCATCGCTCAGTCAGTTTCCTTTTGTTGACTGAACCCACCTTTGCCCAACAACTGCAGTCCGGTTTCACAGTCGAGGTCTAATGGGTTTTTTTTTTGTTTCCTTCCCCATCCCTGTTGTTTTTCACTTGGTTTGGAAGCTCTAACATGAGGAGGATTGTTGGCTGTAACCCAGCCCAGCCCGGGGACTGCTGGTAGGGATGGTGCCGCTGTGAGGAGCGTTTCGGAGGACATGCCTGCAGTCGGGGGGAAAGGGAGGAAGTGCCTGGACAACATGACTGTTTTCAATCAGGAAAATGTTGAGGAATTTTATGAAATTGGAGACGAGCTGGGGAGGTGAGTTTCACTGAGGTCTATTTTTATTCCTAATGCGCATGAACTTCCCCTTTTTAATAACAGAGCAGTGTGAAGGAGGGTGGGAAAATATCTTTATTTTTATACCAAAATGTATTTAATCTTTATATTGAGGTGCATCATTTTAACCCATCTACCCAGAGTGTTCACATTATAGTGTATAATATGTTTTCATGCCATGCTGCTCGCACAACTCTGCATACAGATGGGTTTAGTGATTAAACACTATTGCGTGCTCTCACTCAGCAAGCAAGCATGCACACTTACTATGCCTTTTGAGTAGTCCCCAGAACACGCATCCCCCCACTGTCAGTGCATCTGATAGCCTCTTGATTAATCGTAGTGCATAAATGCATCATTGTCAGTGATGAAGAGGTTAGCGTCTGTTACTGTAGCTGCCTCTTCCTGGAGATTTATTGCAGCAGGGGGGAAGGCGGTGTCATTGTACATCTTTTACAGGGAGAGGATTTACATCCTGGCGCAGCCTGGTTTCATTTCAACCAGAAGGTGTTTGGTCAAAAGTTAACACTTGACAATGGGAGGAAAAAAGAGGGTGAATGTAGACAACAATCTTGCAAGACTGATGTTTTGGTTCTTGAGGGCTGTAGAGTGAGTGATATCCTTGATTTGCTGTGTTGTTCTGTTAAATATGAAACCACAGTGTCAAAACCGGGGGCTGTCTTGTTTTCCGCCTAACTTTACTGCTGCTTAGATCCAGAAGTACATTGCATTATAGTTAAGGTAGAAATACCACAAGCAAGGGTGTGGGCATTTATCCCCACAATGGACGGCACAGACACAGACGCCTTCTCAGTCGGAAACATGGAAATGGATCTTTTTGTGGTTATCAAAGTGACACATGTACTCTGTGTTGGGTAATAATCAACCAATTGTTTTCTGCGCTCCAGGGCCTGTCTGGCAACACTGCTTCTCCATTTAGCGCTCACCTTCCAGCGCTGTGGGGGAGAGCTGAAGTTGCTCTATCTGCTTCACTATGCTACTTTGGTAATAGAGAAGATTGGGGAGCTTTGTGTAATGGGATTGAATTTCTGGCTGGAGGTAAAGAGACGGCTACGTGAGTGTGATAGTCTCATTTGGTCGTCGCTCCAGCACCAGGATCCAGTCTCTATTGTAGTTTTGATTAGGAGAGTAAAGACTTTAAATTGGGTTGTCTACCATCTTAGTGTGCACTAATATTTCAACATTTGGGAAACTGAAATTAGATAAACCTTTGTAGCTTTTTTTTTTTTTGTAAAAGCATCTCTGCTCTGTAATGAAGGCGTCCATGGATCTGGTGTTTTGAGATTGTTCCACTGGAGAACAGCCCAGATAGAGTATTGCACAAGTCTGTTATGGGAAGGATTTCATGTTTTTATGAGACAGCAGAATTATGCATGACTGGGGTGGAGCTCATGGCTACTGCATAATATGGAAAAATACATGTAACCTTCTTTTTGATAGCCTGTTCAATCTACAAAACACTGTAGATGCAAGTACACTTGATATTAAGTATTCGCCTACTTTTGAAAATACATCCGATAATATGTACTTGTGAAAACAAAAGAATAATCATCTGCGAGAGACATTTATTTGCATTGGTTAAAAAAGGCATGCACTTTGTCTCACGCAGTAACCTCTCATACAAAGACATTTGTTCATAATTCGTATCTACGAGTGATTTAAGTGAACTTTGTGGATTTTTTCAGTGTCAAACCGTCACTTC